CCCCCAGGACAACCATGGTTCCCCAACCCCCAAAAACCCCCCCCCCCCCCCCCCCCCCCCCCCCCCCAGTGCTGGGATTAAAGGCGTGCGCCACCACCGCCCAGCTCTCTCCTATCTTTCTTTGTTTATAGGTCACCATGAGGCAAGCAGCCACCTTTGCTATATGTTCTTTCCATGATACACTATACAGCTATAGGCTCAAAGCAACAGGGTCAAGTGACAAACTAAAGCCACTGAAACCATGGTCCAAAATACACCTTTTCTTACTTAGGTTGATTATCTCAGGGACTGTCACAATAACTAAAAGAGACTGACACAAGGGCCATGGAGATGACCTCCTAAATAAGGCACACAAGTGGCACTATGAACTGTAACAGCTGGTCATGGAGATGCCAGACTTGCTGGTGTGTCACCCCCAATGAGTGCCATCAATGAGAAACACTGCACAAGCCACAGGAGAACACATAGTTCAGAGTATGCCCTCAAAAGAAGAGCCACACCCCCTGGATCCTCCAGGCATCTTGTCCTGCCCTAGCTACCAATGGGCTTTATAACCCTGAGGCAACTGTTTAGGCTAACTTTAGGATTCTCATGTGTCTAGGTTTTTGTTTTTATTTTTAGTTGTTTTTGTTTTTTTGAGACAGGGTGTCTCTGTGTAGCTTTGGAGCCTATCCTGGCACTCGCTCTGGAGACCAGACTGGCCTTGAACTCACAGAGATCCGCCTGCCTCTGCTTCCTGAGTGCTGGGATTAAAGGCATGCACCACCAATACCCAGCTAATATTTTTTTTTTTTTTAAAAGTCTAGCCTAACTCACTATGTAGCTAAGGAGGATCCTCCTACCTCCATGTCTTAAGTGCTGGAACTACAGGCAAGTTTCACAAGGCCTAGTTTATATGGTTCTGGAGACCAAAACCAGGGCTTTGTGTATCCCAGAAAATGTGTACCAACAAGCTACAGCCCCAGAATGGTTGTGTTTGCTTGTTTCCTTTTTGTTGTTTTGTTTGTTTTTTTGTTTTTGTTTTTTCCCCCGAGACAGGTTTTCTCTGTATAACCACCCCAGCTGTCCTGGAACTCTAGACCAGGCTGGCCTCGAACTCAGAGAGATCCACCTGCACGCCTGCCTTTGCCTCCTGAGCGCTGAGATTAAAGGTGTGTGCCACCACCATCCAGCTGTTGTTTCCTTTTGAGACAGGATCCTACTATGCCTCCAATTTGTGATCCTCCTGCCTCAGACTCCTGAGTGCATTACTATATCAGGCAATTATATCATACTTGCCCCTTCTTCAGGCTGATGACATTCAATGGCCATTAAGTTCTATGTTTTCTTTCCCCTTTTCATCAAGCTCAACAAGAGTAGATGGCCAGACCCACAGGAAGCAGAGGTTCTAACCCATCTGAGAATGTCCACTCAGAACAACCCATCTTTCAGAGCCACAAGGACACTCTGACTCACTCAGACTGGTGAGCAAAAGCCAGGCTTAGGCTAGCTAAGAGGTCAGAGGTGGGTAGAGAGAGGAGCAAGAATCCAGGCTTCAGGGGCTCGCTCACCTGTTTCATCTCCTGTGGTGTATACAGCATGGTCCTGATGATCATCACCCGATCCAGCAGGTCCAATGGGATGCCGTGTGGAGAGGTGATGTCCTCGGTGCCCCTGCAAGAGCCAAAATCACTCCCATTACCCAAGGAACTCTGAGATCCTGGACAACAGACACACGAGTAGAGGCACAGCACAGAGTAGGTCGCTAGCATCTCTGAGCATCAGGGCCAGGTGGCCCAGGGGAACAGCTTCATCAAAAGTTTTGGAAGGGGTAACACACCAAAACCAAAAAAAAAAAAAAAAAAAAAAAAAAAAAAAAAAAAAAAAAGCCACATCTTCAATGACTGTTTTATAGTTATATTGCTAATATGTGCATTTTTCTGTTTTTGTCTGTTGCTTCAGTCCTAATAACCATGCTTAACTTTTACTTGACAGCATACATTAGAGAATTGCCTCCTCTGAAACTATCACCATGCCTGACCAGCTCACACATCTGATGAATGACTATGTCAGTCTGCACAGCTACATGAGTGACACAGTCACCCAACATCAGAGTCAGCACCAAGTACTTTAACTCTGAAACATTTGCAGCTTTAGCAATCTAGAAAAAGAGAAAGGGGACACCTTGATTGAGTTGCATTTCTTTGGTTACTAATGAGGCACAAATGTTTTCCCCAACAGCCACTCTTTTCTTCCTGAGAACTGTCCAATTACATCCTTTGTTTTTCTCTTCAACCCTTAGCCAAGCCCTTGTCAACAGCC